TGTTTCAGTAAGTAATTTCAGTAAATTCACACTGAAAAAAAAAAATGTGGGGAGTGACTGCTTTAGAATACAAGTATAGGCAGAACTAGCCTGCTCAGTGGTTAACTGAGTGCTGTGAGTGGTTTTATTTCTGAGTCATGCAGTTATACCAGTCTCACACAAAGGGAAACTTTTAGACCATATATCAAAATCTTCCTTATAAAATCGGAATTTTCAAACAGTGACTAAAATCACTTATTGTTCACTTTGTTGAGGCACCTTAGATTAAGGTGTTTTGATTGTGAATTCTTTCAGGACATTGTACTAAAAAGTTGGCTAGAGTTTGATCTAGCAGGTTTTTACAGGAAGAAAGCAGTGGCCATTCTGTGCTTCCTTAGGCATGGTTTGTGTGCAAATATGATTACTGCCTATCTAATTTAGGATTGAGTGGAGAGGAAGAAGTTGTTGCTGATTATGTTAGCCATGACAAAACACATTTCACAGGAAAATTGTAAGAAGGAAACATATTTCAAGATAGCAAAAGCAGCAACTAGATTTTAAGTATCTTGTCCATCTCCAGCTTTGAAACTTCGTCTCAGTCAAGGGATGTAGCCACTGCTATGTTCTGCTGTGTACTGGCCCCTCTTTATTACCCAGCACTTCATTTGCACAGGCAGGTGCTGAGAAAACCTAACCCTTATATAGCATTCTGCTTTGTCAAGATCTGAGTCCTTGTTTCTGTGGTGACACAGAGTCGGTCCTGCGTCAGTCAAATCAGTATCCTGCGGGATTTTTTTAGCCAGTTTTCTTAGCTGTAGGAAATTAGTCCCAATTCAAAGAGTTGCCTCTCCAAATAAGTGCCTTGACCATCATTAAGTTGCAGAGTATGTTATCTTTCTTATTCTGCTGAAGATTCTATTTTGTCGTAGTTACCTTTTCTCAGCACAGTGAACAGGACAGACCACTTCTTGGGTGAGTTGCTCTTCTTGTATGAGGCAGATCGAAATTTTTCTCCTAGCTCTGCTGGCTCCCATTGGTTTTCCTTAGCTGAGAGGGATGAACAAACCTGTTGCTTATTTGTATGTGTTGGGTTTCTGGGAGGTGAGATGGGTGAGTTTATCAAAATGTGTTTTGTAGAACATCAGTCACAGGAAGGAACCCTTAGTATCCCAGACCAGGTAAGTAGCGACTATTGTCTCAGCCAAGCAGACTCTGCTTCTGTGTCTCAGTGAAGTTGTGGTTGTTGCAGGAGGAGTGTGCCAGCCAGAGAGAAAACATCATCTAAAGCCCATGGCCTGATGATATGAGTATTTACCTGGGAGGACAGGGAACAGAATTTCAGTTCTTGCTTTGACCTGACTGAAAGTGGGTGGTTAAGAGGTTCATTTCCCGTATTTCTGTCAGACATGTCCCTTTTCCTGGGGCTGCAGATGCTCGTTTGCTTGCTTCCTAAAGCTGATCTTTATATCCATGAGGAGACGCACAGTGTAAATTCATACATTAATCCAGAGGTTCTCTTCCTGGCCTGTCATGTGGAAAAATGAATGTGTTCGGGCACACTTTCTAGGTTTTTGGCTTCATCTCAGAACGTCTGTGTTTACAGCAAGCCATTTTCTTGTTACAGCTGCTCTCCTTTTGGCTAACTTCCTTCTTAGCCCAGTAGTTTTGTCACTGACCTGACACAGGAGAAATGTGTTCATAACTGACTGGCTTCTGGCTATTTGTGGAGTCCCTTCTTTCCCCTGTAATGTTCTACTTGGTTTTAGGTCCTCATGCTGGAGAGGAGGCTGCCTGGCACGTTACCCCTCTTGTGAATGCAAGGGAACAAACTGCAGTGACGTTTTTGGAGAGGTTACTAGGCATTTCTTAGTCTCTGCGGTGTCCTTCATTTTCTGCCTGTCTTGCTTTAGCCTAATTAGCTGCCATGTGGATCAGAGCAGGAGGCCATCAGGAAACAAGGAATGGTTGCTTCAAAGCTTTGTGCACTGTTGTGGTTTCAAAGGAGTGCAGATGACTGATGCTCCAGATTCTGCTGTCCTACAGCCTGGAGCAAGGATTGGGTCCTTAAGGTCCCACATTTGCTGCAAATTGACCTAACCATTGAGCTGTCACCTCTACAGCTAACTTACTGCCTGTTAGCTAACCCAAAGCGGAAACTACAACAGAAGAGAATTCTCTAGAGCTGGTGAGTCCCTATAAGCACAACTAGTGAATCTGTCATCACTCGCTGTGTAAGAAGCCAAAGTTAGCCTGGGGCATTGTTCTTTTATGTAACAGAGGGGAAGTGGCTCTGGTCCAGGTGATCCAGAAGCCTGAGGAGCCAGACCATCCTGTGATGTTGGCCTGATTAGCTGTAAATAATCCTGGCTCAACTGCCCTGTTCTATGTCTTTGCTGTTTTTTCAGTGAGAGGAGAGGGAAGGATGCGTGTTTCCTAGCTGCTGGGGTATCTTGTGTGTTTATGAATGGGACTACCTGTACCGTGATCTGTGCAGAACTGGTCTTGGCACATGCATGGAATGAAGTATGGCGGGAGAGAGCAAGTTTGTGAATTAGGAAGAAATTCTTTACTATGAGGGTGGTGAGGCACTGGAACAGGTTGCCCAGAGAGGCTGTGGATGCCCCATCCCTGGAAGTGTTCAAGACCAGGTTGGATGGGGCTTTGGGCAACGTGGTCTAGTGGAGGGTGTCCCTGCCCATGGCAGGGGGGTTGGAACTAGATGATCTTTGAGGTCCCTTCCAACCCAAACCGTTCTATGATTCTATGGATGCTTGTACAGAAGCATCTGGATAATTAACTCAGACATTAGGTAGGAGCATTTAGATCCTTAAAGACATTTTCTGTGGGAGGTACGGCATAATCATCTCCTCGGGTACCCGAGAAGACGTGGTTAGATGCTGACTTCTGCCTTAATTGCGCATCAGGAATTTAGGTGTCGATTTTGAGTCTCACCCGAAATAATTTATTTGGCATCACAAGGATTTAAACCTTATCTTACTGCCAGGGTACCACCACCATCAGTAGACCATTTTTACTAGCTTATCTGTTTCCACTGAAGCTGGCGCGGTACCATGAGGGCCCAGGTCAATTTTCTCTTTCAGTCCCACAGGAACGAATGCTGATCAGCAATGGGGGGTCAGGAGTGGACACTGATCCAAGTCACAGAGGGTATTCCAGGGTAGCACAATTACTCTGTTTCAGGTACTCTCATGGGATCATCCTAAGCCGTGCATATTAGTTAACCTTTCCCATAGTTGCTTTATGTGAAAGGGCTTTGATCTATGAATGAGCCCAACACATGGTGCTTGCTCACTGTATGTTAACAGCAGAGATGTTATTTTTAGCTCCTGAATTCTTTTCCTCCTTCACTATCAGAGCTGAAAGACCTTTCGTCCTTAAGACAGGCAACTGTTCACTATATAGTGTATTTGGGACAAGGTGCTATGTAAGGTTAACACCTCTACTGGGGGCGATTTTTTTTGCAAAATGGGTAAGTGGTTTTTTAAGTAGCCATTAAAAAATCTAAATAAAGTAGTCATGTTTTAAAAAGAACTGTTATCTTTGGAACATGTAATTTACAGAACTCACTGCAGGAATCCTTGATTTAGAACAATTACTGCACTAAAGTACTTTTTTTTTTACTTTGAAAACAAAAAACAAAACCAAACCCCAAACCAAAAACCAGACAGGTTTCCAGCAAGGGCTGGGATAATTGACTGGAATGGAAACTTAGCCAAGTCTTGCAAAACTCCAGTATACAGTTGCTGTTCTCTCAGAGGTCTTTTCTCCTGCCATCTGAAAGCATTCCTTTGCCTGGTCACTTGTGTGGAGCCTTTTTTTTTTTTTTTTTTACGTAATCACTAGTTGCTAGAAATAAATACTGCCAGAACTAATATGCTGGTTACGTTCTTACAATTGGGTTGTGTGCAGTGCATGCTGGTTTAAGCGGAAGCTGTTTCATAACATTTTAAATTATGAAATTTCTTGTGCAACAGAGTTTAAGGATCAGTTATAAACAATCTAATCACAAAGCTTCCTTAGGCAGTAACTCACCTATGTAATTTCTTGTAGCTCAAGCGTGACTCAGTCCAGTCTCACACCAAACAAGATTCAGGAGCTAGAATACAAGGTATGCCGATTCAATGTACAGTTCATATTTCTTTTGCAGTCATGCTCACAGACCATTGGAGTAATTTATCTATGGCTACAGTGGTGGTTTTGTTTTTTTTTCCCTTTTGAAATCCTTTAGTAGCAGTCGGGCAGCTGTGTCTGTTTTTCAGAGCTGTAGAATACCAGTCCCTGAGCAAAAAGGGAAAGGTGTCAGAAAAGTTGCTGGTGGCGTTTGGGGCTTGAAAGACTCAAACACCTCTGTTTTCAGTTTTGAGGCATGCAGAGGAGCTGCTTGCTATTGCAGGAAGGTCCCACGGGCACCACTGGCAGTAGGCGGGCCATGCCGACTCTCTGGATCTGACACCATGAAACCAGGCTCTCCATGGCTGATTCTGCAGCCAGCTCCAGTCCCTGGCTTCGGGATCTTTTATGCAGCTATAAGAAATTTAACTGTTGGCTCTTACCTCTTGTGTGGGCACGGACTGCATCCAAAAAGAAGGGAATCCATATTCCTAATCATCAACATTAAAACCACTGCTGCATTCAGTAAGATTTTAGTAGGAAACTGAAGATAGAGGGCGGGATCACAGACCCTGTACTTCCACTTGGGCCAAATTGAACTGAGAAGCATAAAGGAGCACCAAGCCTGCCCATTCCTTACTCCTGGTATGCAAATGAGACTTCTGCTCTGTTTAGGAAGAAAAAGAAAGTCATCTTCCAAAATGACTTTACTTAAGGTGAGCAAAGATCCCGACAGACACATTGCATTTCCTGCAAGGGAAGACCGAGACAAAATTCTTCAGCCTTAGAAGTGACTCTGCCTTCCTGGGCTTGCTTCTACCTTCGAGGGATTCTACTCCATCAAGTGTGAGCCATTGTCATATTTTTTCAAGCCAGACAATTGACTTTAGTTTTATTACAAAGCTTTTATTAAAAAACAAATGCTCAGCACATTAACTCAAACTGGAATGACAAAAAAAAAAAAAAAAATCGGTTGACAGTATTTTTGGCAAAGGCTGTGCCTTACTATTTTAAAAAATGGGTACATCAATGCTCATTTCAACAACTGGCATAAAATCCCACTAACAGGCTAACAAAAACAGATACAAATACAGAACAATTGAAGTAATAATTCAAGTGCTGGGCTTTTTACAAGGAGAAGGGGAATGGGGTGAGAAGGAGAACTCACTGCAGTCAGATTTGCTGGATGTATTGCTTATGGTTACAGAGTAGATGATGCAAGACTGACATGTCTACTGACCAGCTGACTGTTGTTACATTTATTTAGTTCTATAGGACACTGTATTATATAGACTGAGAGGCCACTATTTGTTACAAATAGTTTAACAAAAAAGCCACCTTTTTTCCATACAGGTTTTTCCTCTGGCAGAAAAAAAAAAAAAGAGAAAAAACCTTTTATTTTAAAATTATTTCAGATTTCTGACACTTGTTTAAAAGCTCATACCTAGTAAAATATACACCAAAGAAATTACAAACTAAAAGTTAAAATATAAAAGCATTCAAGTTTCTTAAAAAAGCTAAAACCAAAATTGATCCTGTCGCACCATTAAATAAAAAGAAGGTTGAGTGTGTCATCCTGGTCCAGGCAAATTTCATTCCTTGATGTGCTTGCTGTATGGGGCAGCTATGCTTGACATTACTCTGTTGGCTGAAGCAGGCAGACACAGCCACGCTACTTTGTTTGCTGACCCGATATGGACACAGATGAGACGGGGGCTTAAGAGTGCAAGGCAGAGGTGGAGTGAAGACAAAAGCTGCTCTGCTGACCCAGGAGCTCATTTGCTCTATTTATATTGGGGCTGGACCTTGTGATAATGAAGGATTTTGGCAGTGATTGTCTTTATGATTCAGTGTCTCTAGCAGTGACATCAGGGTGAATGACATCCTAGACAGACTCCTCGGGGGTGGTCTGTGTGGATGAAGGACACACCTAGGGTTTAACAAGCTTCCATCTCCAGAAGAGGTCCTGGTGTCGCTGCCTTTGCTTTGCAAGTTGAGAAAGCATTTCTTTTCCCACCTACAGGGATGGGAAAGTGAGAGAGAGATAAAGACTATAAGAAGCCTGGTTTGGGGTTTTTTGTTTGTTTTTAAAATCCTTCAAAGAAACTGGTGATGGGTCGCTGTAACTCTATGACACAACTGTATTAGTGGAATGTGCATTTGCAATGTCAAAGCTAAGTGCAGAGTATTGCTATTTGCTCTTGAAGTTTGCAAGAATGTTTACGGAGAGTACTTTGGATTGTAAATCAATGTCCACACCAACTAGAAAGGTGGGGGTTTAAGCTGTTTAGACATTCAACATATTACAGAAGTAATTCCCTTTTGTAATGGGTTTCATTTATCTACAACATTTGACCCAGATATCTGTTACAAAACTAGACATCCTCAGGCTTTGGTACTACAGTAGTTGAGGTCAATTAACCCTCTACTTCAGAGCCTCAAGCTCTATTCCCTGCAGAAATGAAGAAATGCTGTCTTCTCTAAGCAGCTAGGTAGAGGACTGTGGTGGGTGAGGCTTGTGCGAACACTGACCCTACATCGTGCATCCACACGACTGGGGAGGAATTGTTCTGCTCTTCAGTGGGGTAGGATACATCTTCCGGTTGTGTAAGAGCCGTAGGCCTCTTAGCTAGCAGTAAAGTTCACTAGGATCTTGGAAGGATTTATGTTCTTATAGCATGTGAAAAGGCCAACAGTGCAAGCCTTACAGGTATTGCTCATCCAGAGAACAGTTCTTCAACATTAGGTCTCTGGGTTACATCAGCTGACTTACACAATCGCTAACTCAACCATCACCCCTGCCCTTCTGACCCAGACAACTGGGTTGTAACAGGGACTCCACCCAAAGCCTGGCTAATGAGTCAGGCATTTTTCCACAGACAGACACATGCTCTCCAGTAATGGTCTCCGGATTATTGGTATCTCAAAAAAAATCTACATTAACCTCTGGGCCTCTAGGTACTACTCAGCTGCCAAACAAGTAGAGGGTTCAATGAGCAGAGCTTTTGAGAATGACCAAAACTAGCACCGGAACGTAATTTGATGGAGAAGGTGAATGATTTTTCACCAGAATAAACACAAAATGCTTAGTCACACAAAGAATATACACTGCCAGCACCCTGAGTCACGCAAGGCAAGACAGAACAAGTTTATGAAGAAATGGCGTTGTTGAAACCACAAGTCAAACTTCTGTTAGACTACTCCTAACAGATAGGCTGCTTGAGCCTGTAAGAGCCACAAGCAGAATTAATCAGCAATTATTACAGCAGCAGAACTTAAACCAGGGCCATTTACAACTGGGCACCCACCTCCCATCTGCTGCGGCTTCTGTATAAGCCAGCACATTTTGCCCACGCTGGCTGAGTACAGCTCCTGAATAAGGAGTTACACAGGCTAATGTACTGCAGGGTAGAAAGCCTCCAAAATAGATTTTGGACCATCTGATTTTAGTGAGCGCTAGCTGAGGCTCCACAATCTTACTAAACAAGTTGATTCCTCATCAGAAGCCACCCACGTGGCCATTGCTTTAATGGAAAGGAAAGGTGAGGACACTGAAGAAATTCAGCTGCAGACTAAGTAAGGTAGAAAGAACAAGCGCAGATTTATGTCAAACTCTTCCTATGTAGGTTTAATTTGAAGGATGCTCTCTCCTCCCCCAGCTACCACCATCCCTGATAGATAATGAATACTTTTCACCTGCTGCTGGTAGCCACAAAAGGACATCTAAAGCCACTGTGGTCTCTTAAACAGCACAGCTGAAAGTCCACTGGCAAACCAGTGGTTTCAACAGAGGTGGTCTGTATTGACTAATTCAGTTCCTATTTCCTCATAAAACCAGCCTGAGTCCCAACTAAAAAAAGCCTTCTGAGCTTCCTGGCCCCCCCCCCTTTTTTTTTTTATAAAGTAGCGCAGTGCTCCATAACACATGCGGATCAAAGAGCTATGAAGGGCTCTACCTTTCCAAGGAGCACGAACGAGAGGCCAAGCAAACAGCAGAGGAACACTGGGGAGAGCACCCTGCAGCTTTATATTTATTTTGTGCCTTTTCATCCCGGATTTTCAAAGGTTTGGTCCAGGTTGCTCTTCCTGGGAAGGTTTTCCTCTCAGTCTTACATGAAAACATTCAGCTTCCTGTTGAGGAATGGCCTTGAGGCGCCAGGCCAGTAGTTCACAGCAGTCTGATACAAGCGCAGTGATTCAGAGCTACTCCCCATTAGCAGCCAGGAATGTCTACTTCACTGAAGGAAATGAAATGCTCTTCTGTTGAGATGGTTCCCTGCCTCCTCCCCCCTTTCCTTACCAGCAAGCTGTCTTTGAAGTCAGGAGGTTAAAATAACGACCGCGGCCTTGCTCTGGCCCTCAGCTTTTTCAAACAGCGGCCATCGCTGCTTTCCCGATCCAAAGCAGCTTTGCAGCGCCTGCCTCCTTGCTGTAGCCTCTCTTGGCACCTAATTACCCCTGCTCCAAGAGGGAGGCTGCAGATATGACTGTAATTCTGCAAGGGGACAAGCACAGTGAAGCCCTAAATATTTTTGTTTCTAAGCGAATACTGCAGTACAGCAAATTACACAGTAGCTGTCCCGAAAACAGCATCTAGAACCCAGCCTTTCCCCAGCTGCACATTAAGGCTACATGCTGGAAATTGCTTCTAGTGCTGATAAACCAAATAATACCTAAAAAATATGAGTGACAATAGTGTTGCCTTACAGATATAAAACAGGTCAAATCAGGATTCTTTTCAAGAAACCACAGGCATGTGCTAAGGAGACTGAAGACTTCCCACATCTAAGGCTTCACTGGGGGGCTGTAGCTGAAGTCTCGCCAAGCGAGGCATGCCCTAGCAAAGCCCAATCCACAAGTGAAGTCGGCGCAATCAAAGGCTGCAATTACAGCTCCCTGGCTGTGGTTAGGCTTCAAAGAAAGTGCTGCAAGTCACATTTTACATATGTGAAGTCTTGAGCCTGAGCCACAATAGGAAGCACTGTCTGTGCCATTTGCAGTGTACATCTGACTGGAGGAGAAAAGGGGAGGGGAACAAATCCAGAACTAAAATTCAACAATAATTCAGTGTAAAAAGAAAAGCCTTACTACCAAAAAGTGATAAAACTCTATTTCAGGAATCACTACAGTAAAACTAAAGCCTCCTAACAAGACTGGGCTCCGTGGCTGAGGGCAAGAGCATCAGAGGGGTATCAAAAGTCCTCTCCATGCTTGGGAATGAGATGGAGTGAAGGATGGGTCTGCAAGGGCCTTGTGCTCCTCCTCTTGTCTTTTAACTCCTCGTCCTTTTTCTAGAACAAGGGAGAGGATTATGCAGCTTCATCTAGGTCATACTAATTGGAAGAGGTTATGGAAGAAAGTCAAGGGTGTCTGGGTCAGTACAGGAGTAAGTACAGAGTAAAACAGATAGCTAACCCTTCACAGCAAGCAAGAGAAAGTAGAGTTTAAACCAGGTGCTTTTTACCTTTACCTACTGTAGGTTGTTTTCATACAGTTGTAAGAAGAGACAAGACTACATATAATGGCAGTCTTGTCTCTTTTACATGTATTTAAAAGAAAAAAAAAAGTCAGGCTCCAAACCTGGCTTTTAATCCAGTACTTCAAACAACATGGCAAACTGAAGGATCCGGCAGCTGAAACTGTCATTTTCTTTTGAAGTCCAAAATGAACATGTTCAACTTACTGCCAGGGTTTATCCAATGCTCCAGAAACATGGGTATGCAAAACCAGGTCAGTATTTATCAGAAAGGTTCATGCTGTTTGTGAAGCCCTTTTTTTTTTTTATTTTCTTTAGCAGCAAAGCTGGAGAGAGTTTCAGGCACGAGCAGATAGATGCCGGCGCTGCAGTCTGCTCCTCTTCCTGCCCAGCTGTGCCATGGTTTGCAGGGTTAGACTAAACCAGATCCTTGAAATGTTCTGGGCAAACAAAAACAAACACTCCACAACCTTTGTTGTTTCTAAACAACAACAAAAAAAACCACCCCTCCCAACAAAACCCCAGTCATTTTAGTAATCTGATTTGCTGCAGGGTCCCACAAGCTGTTACAGCACGTGGATGGAGAGACCTATGGGAGACAGGAAAAAGCCCTCTCTGCAAGAGCTGGATACCATCAGGCAGCAGAGGAAACCTTTTAAGCTGTCTTTGTTGCCAAAGAAATTACATAAAATTGTACCCTAAAACTGTAACAGATTTTGCCATGTTGAAGCTATGTCAGTAAGTAAGTTTTTCTTGGTGGTGTTCCCCCCCCCCCCCAGTACTGTTAGCCTCAGCCCATTGCTGGTAACTGAATGGAGACTCCAGTAGTAAATTATCCCTCTGTGTTTTAGATGCCCTGAAGTAATTACTCCTGAAAAATACCTCTCCATTGACTGCAGGTAGAGCCTGGAGTTCCAACTTGTGTCCTCTTAGTCTGGCCTAAGCTAGATGCATTAAGTGAAGAGCAGGAACACAGCCCTCCTCCATGAGTCAGAGACCTCTTCCAGAGCAGGTTAGTGTCAGTGTCAGCATGGGAAATGCCCAGGTATTTTAGGTCTGCCACTTTGTGTGGCCGAAGTCAGTGATGCCAAAGCAGGTGTGGTTCTTATCGAAGGCCCCTTGTGTAGGCAGCATGAGACTAGAAGCTCTATCGCTGAGCTACAATCTTTAAAATGATCCTACTGGAAGACCCAGGATGTGTTTTTTCCTGTTGAGGGTGGGAGGGGAGAGAGGTTCCATGTTTGTAATTAAAAAAAACATTACCTCTAGACAGCCCTCTCTAGCAGCTTTTTAAAGAGGAATAATAGGCTAAAAGTGATCTGCAAGGGAGGAAGAAATAGGCTTGTCCCCTTTTTCTATCTTTATGGCAGATAATAAATATTCAGAAGATTATCTTTTAAATTATTTATTTTATAGACTGAGAGCTGTGAAGAAAGATGTGTCAGTTCTAGGGGCACTGAAATTGCTACTTCAGTTTTCACCTGCTGTAACAGAAAAGAGATGAGGTACTGGTAAAGTAAGTGAAAAGTCTTTAAAAGAAA